TTTTACATCATTCATTTTCACCAACAGTTTCGGAAACAATAGAATAAATTAGGTTGACTGACGATGCACTTTAAATCAGTTTGAATATCAATCTTTATGCTGATTTAATAGACATAAATACTTTTTATAAGTATCCGATTGCGAAGGGCAGAGACAAGTGGTCCGTGACACTCAAGTTGACCCGAACCAAACCTTGCTTCGCGATTCATGAACGCGACCGGTGGGCGTGGTTCGTAGGAGGCACCCAAACGAAATAAAAGGAAAACAAGGGAATCGATACCTAAGCCTATACATCCTAATACCCTCGAAGTTTTGTGGCCAAAGCCATTTATTAATGCTTGGTAGCTCAAGAGGCGCTATTTGAGACGATACATATACACACCCACAAATATTTCACACAGTGTATGTATGTGAGAAAAAGTGAGAGGAGAGAGAGAGAGAGAGAGGGAGAGAGGGGGTGCGGACGCTAGCCTCGATAAGATGGGACTGAAACATAGCCGAACGCTCAGTCGCTCACTTCTTGCTTTGCCTGGCGAATCCAGATCACTCCCCCCCCCCCCGTGCCTAACTATGTCCAGGTTATTTGAACGTGGGCTACCTTTCAGGGCAAGAAGGGCAAGATCTCTCCAAGCCAGGTCTGGCGAGGCGACATCGCTTTTGTTGTTGGGTGTACATACAAAGCTCAGGAACTTTCACTCATACGTAACCTCCTCTACAATAACGGCTTCCCCATCATTTGATCGATGCATATATCGGTAAAACTTTGAAAAACATCATAAGCAATAGACACCCCAGTTTTACGGTAACGAATAAATTGTTTTACCTTTCCATCATTTACGTAGGTCCACTCAACCTCCACTTAAAGCATATGGTATCCAAACTTATCCGTATATTCAGAACAAAGAACGCTATCCAGATTCAAAGATGCAATACCAGCTGATCTAACAAACATCCGTGATAGCTGTAACGCATCATATATTTGTAAAAAAAATCATGGGTATTTCCAACCGAACTGGTATCCAAATGACCAAACTACCCTTTTCGGCAATCACGAATCACGCAGATATATCGCAAAACTTCTCAGTTGTGGCAGGCACTCTACTGTATACCAGCAGCTCCTCCTCATGGATAGCACACTTACAGCCATACATGAACTCAACAACAATAAAAGCTCAATACCACTCTTGCGTTTATTGAAGCATAATCCACAGACCATATCTTGCGCCCATTTTTCAGTAATCTTCCATTTTAATACAATTCTTCCGTTTGTTTTGTAAGTCACATAATTTTATGTATCACTTATAGCTTTGTTAAATTTTACTCACTTTTGCTTTAACTTGTATTTATTTTCATAGTTCATGGTTAATTTTCTAATTTATGAAGAAGCATTTTAGTATTCATAGGATATTATATTATACTGAATTTTCATATACTGAATTTTCTCTCAATGGAGTGGCTTCAAAGTGAATTTATTCATATTAATATAAAACGTCGCCGAGTAAATATCACAGTACCAGCCGTGGACGTTCTGTTCTTGAGACGATTGCACTTTCTATCCCTATGCAATGAATCCATCATATACATCTATGTATGTATGTATGTATATATATATATATATGTATATATATGTATATATATATATATATATATATATATATATATATATATATATATATATATACGCACATGTATGAATGTGTGTGTGTGTGTGTGCACACACACACACACAAACACACATACACACATACACACACACACACAACACACACACACACACACACACACACACACACACACACATATATATATATATATATATATATATATATATATATATATATATATATATATATATGAGAAATGAAATAATGCACTACCGCATTGATTTGATGAATAAATAACATCTTTGATAGGGATTCAAATCCTCACTCTTGGAGGTATGTAATTGCAAGACGAACGCTGTACTACTGAGCTACGCGGTCCACTAATAGGAGTGTGCAACTAGGAGCTAAATAGCCTTTATAGACATTACCTATCTACTCATACGTGAGTAAGGATAGTTTTACACACACTCCCCGTGGGCACTCCGTAGATAGGGATAAAGAAGTTCAAATCCGAAATCTGAAATCCAGGGGTGTATGTAATGAAAGATGGAATAATGCAGTACTGTGTTGATATGATGAATAAATAACCTCTCCATTAGGGACTCGAACCCGTACTCTTGCGGGCAGGTAACTGCAAAATGAAAGCTATACCACTGAGCTACACACACACACACACACACACACACACACACACACACACACACACACACACACACACACACACACACACACACACACACACACACACACACACACACACACACACACACACACACACACACACACAGCACACACACGCACACACACATATATATATATATATATATATATGTATGTATATATATATACATACATACACACACACACACACACACACACACACACACACACATATA